CTGTTCTATAAGACTTACGAAAAAATGTCACACCATAGCATAAATTCCTGCCTCAGACCCTAGAAATTCCTCTGTTTCAGTGCTTCATTTTTTAGTTACAGGTCAGTTTTATAGTAAGGGTGCTCCCACCACAGGAGAACTTAGTCTAACAGCCTGTTTTGCAGACCTTCCAGGAAAAATGTTGCCATCATCAGCCACACAGGCCTAACAGCTACATACTTAATCACAGTATACATCAGTTTCACCACTATGGCAAAGACAATACCCAAATTATTTAGCAAAGCTTCCTACTAGACAGTGTGTGGTATTACCATCTTAAAAAAAAAAAAAGTAATTTGGGGAAGTAATTACAGAAGTAACAGCCATGTAGTGAGGGAAAGGCACACATCAAGGCACTGAAGAAGAGAATGAAGAAGTCCATGGAAGAAAGACACCAAGACAGACCACAACAGTACAGTTGCAAACGTTTCATTAACTTTCTCCATTTCAACAGGCTGTTGACAGTCTAAAGAACAAGCTTATAGAAATCCTGAATTACAAGTATTCTTGAGAGATCAGATTAACTGAAATCTACACACAAGCTTTATCACTGTGCTCCAGGTGTTAACCACCCTGTGATGCAGGCTACCATTCCCAGCAGAAGCAGTTGAACAAGAGCATGCAACCACTCCCCAGGGACTTCACTGAAAAAACCCAGCAGCTTAAATCAAACTGGCTCCTGTGGCAATTTAAATGTAGACTCTAGACTTTCACCTGAAGCAACTGTGGGCTTTCATACATCTTACTCCAACTCCTCACTTCCTGAATAGAAGCAGTGCCATCAAACTGCCACAACAATTTCAGCTGTAAACAGCCTTTTGGAGAGAAAAAGCTGAATAAGAGAGCAAAAACCTCAAGATGGTGATACACTCAAGTGTGCACACTATCACTAGAAATTCTCATTACTGGAGGCAACAATGGCTTTAGCACTGAAGACGAAGTCAGAGGAATGGCGTTAGGTGAAGGGACTGAGTTAACAAAGCCTTACAGACAATATTGACCTCATTTCACTTGTCAAGAGCCTAGAGAGATCAAGAAACAAGATGCAAACAGCAAAATATATGGTCTGATAACAATAAAATCCTCATCATGAGACAGGAGAAAAAAATTAAATTGGAAAGAGAGAGCAGAAAAGGTGCATATCTCTCAAAGCATCATGGAACGCACATATTAAGGATGAAAGACGTAAGTCCCAGTACTATTTGGTAAAGTTTGGAAAACTAAAGACATTCCAGTAAAAATAGAGCCAGGATGTAAGAGACTATTGTACTGATAATGCCGCATGAACCAGAAGGCTGGATAAGAAGTTGATGAATTGGAGATAACTGATTGGAAGAAATGGCTCAAGAAACCCTGATCCCCAGATTAACAAAGAAATAGGAAAATATCTCTGGTAATAAAATACTATTCCAGAAGAATCAAGACAGATGGTTGCAAAGGTCTAAGCACATCATGAACAAACTTGGGAAGGTTATCACAAACACCAACATGTACCGGAACGCAAGAGACAGTAACAGCAGGGAGACCGAAGATAAGCTGAACAGATGTACTTAGGAGAAAAAAAAAAAAAAAAAAAGGCTTTGTAAGCAAAGCCACGAAGTCAATACAACTACTTTCCTTCACCTTACGGGTTTCGCTCAAGATCTGGCTTGTGTGTTACAACGCTGTCTTCTGTTCACAGTAACCACTTAGCAAAATACAGTAATGCACCAAACCCCATAATCCAACAGGTTGCCAAATCCTGAGGACTCTGGGTACCAATTAGCATTCTGTCAGCACTGGAATAATTTTGTTAAGTCTGTTGTGATCTCAAACATGGAATGGAATGCAACTCTAGGTCCTTGCCACCTATCAATGCTAATTAAAATGAGATCTGAAAAGCCACTTCTCACAGCTGCCGCTCCTAGTGAGAAGCTACACACTTACAAAGTCTTCTTCCTCAAATTGCAACTGCTCTTTATCTTCCTTCTTCTCTTCCCTGGAATCAACAGGCAGCTTTTCTTGAAAGGCGGAACTTTTCCGAGAATGGAAGTTGCCATTCCAGTGGCGATGAACTCCAGTTCCTCCTCCACCACGCTGGTTCACACCATCATGGCCCCGTGAGGGACCATGCCAGCCAGGCTGACTGCCAGAAAGCCCAACATGACCTCCTTTAGAAACACCAGAATCTACAGAATCATGGCGGAGAAGGGACGGCTGATGCCAGCAGTCTAAACAAAAGGAGATAAGTATGCAAATAAAAAAAGTCAACACCGTGCAGAATACTGGAAATATCAGGCTGTTTTTCTTGTTGTTAAGTCAGCGTTCACTAACTAACTACTAGGTCAAACTTATTAAGCCACTGTGTGATTATATCAGAAAACAAACCAAGCTACACAATGCGCATACAGCTACTACCGAAAACCCTTAAGGCCTGAGCACACGGCATGGGAGAAGAGAATAGCACAAGTTTCTCACAGGATGTTTTGAAAAGGTACGGTTTTGGAAAACATCATTTATATTCTGCTGAATTCTTCGTTCTGTAGAATACTCCAAAATGTTTGCTGCACTCTGATCCTTCCTACTCACCTCCCGCAGTTCGGAGGGGCCCATTATTGAAAAATCCATCAGAAGAGTTGTGTCTCCTACGGCTCACCCCAAAGCGGCCCTCTCCCCGTGGAAGATGTTCTCCATGTTTCTCAAAGGTGGCTGCAGGGGACTGCAGGAAGTAAAAAGTGATGTAACGAAGCATTCATTAGGGCAGTTCAGGAGCCAGCCAGTCCAACGGTGACACCTCATTAATTGAAAAGAAACCCCCAGATTCTGGTACTGCTCCCCTATCAGCATTGCTTAGCTAATGACGCCAACAATTACGTGAACCTGATCAGAATGGCACACAAATCCATGTATCTTACCCAGAATCAGACAGAACCTAACATATTACCAGAAGCGTTTGCAAACACACACTTTCTGCAAAATTCATTTAAGAAATTCTGTGATGCACAGATGCTCATTCACTCACTCCCTCTAAAGTCAGAAGAGCAGATAGCAATGGGGGGTCCAATCAGTCTGATTAAAACTCAGAGACAATCAAGTAAGTTAAGGCACTTTTGGACTGAAACAACTATCATGCTGTAAAAAGCATTAATGCTTCTAGCATTAAGATTCTAGAGAATCTTTTACTCCTCACTTTCCCTCGTTTATAAAAAAAATCTAGTTTGTTTTAAATGGATCAAAATATCCTGAAATTATTTTTGCCTCCTCACATTAAGCATGAAGGTGAAAGTTACATTCTTTCTTGTTCATTAGAGTTGTCCATCATGATCTGGTTTGCTATTAAAATGTTTTTCTCCACCGCCATGCACAAGTAACACAAATTATTAAAGTCCTAAAACAGACTTCCTGGGTCAACATAAGCTTCTTCTGGAACCAGTTTTAGAAAGAAGGTGACAGGCAAACTGCCCTCATTTTAAGGCTGCAAAAAAATAATGAGTATTTCTAAGTCTGGAGCTAGAGTTCAGAGGCTTATTATCAACCTAATACTCAGCAAGGGTCAGATTATTTTCATAAATCAAACCCAAATTATATTCTGAATTATAAGCGGCAGCTCAAGCCTTGACCTCCACAGACTTAGGGCCATTTCTTTAATGATCTTCTACTTGGGATCTCACTCAAGTCTCAGCACAAAGACACAGAACTACTTCCATGTCTGAATGCAAGTGTTGTCCCTCCTCCGAAATAAAAGGGATACATTTGTTGAAACAAAGGGAAAAAAATTATTTTCACCATAGTAAGTTTTCAAAAGCCTTCTTTAAAAACACAAAAGTAGTTAAAATTAAACATTTTAAGGTCAATGAAACACTGGGGCAATTTTTTGCTTTTTATTATTGTCACAGCTGTAAAAGGAAGTGACCTGTACTAATGTTACCTTGGTTGACTGTGGCGTTGAGAAGTTAAGCCAGGCAGGAACAAAGTCATGCTGCGCCATTTAGGTCCAGTGTCTCCCTTCAATAAAATGAGGCATCAAACCTCATGGCCAGGATCTATAAAAGAAAAGAACATTCCCTGACTGTCATCTTTTCCAAACTGAAATAATAATACAATTCATTTCCCAAAGCTTGGCCTATATGAATAGGCGGGGAAAAGTGCTGCTGTTTTTCATACTACACTTGAGCATTTTTTTTCCTGATGACTTTGTTCCTCTGACCAAAACAGGTAAGAACTTAAACATTCCCAGTTACTTCCTGTTTACAGTTAACACACACATGAAGTTCATGGCAGGATGGGTGTGGAGGTGGGCAGAAAAGAGAACAGCCAGCATACAAAAGCCATACAATGCATAGATGTGTAAATCAAGACATGACAGAATCTGGGGTGCGTTCCTTCACTGCTCATTGGATCATAGTCTACTCAGGGGTGATCACTGCATATTTTATTCCAGAAGCTGTAAATCAAATACGACCAGACTGGTGATGATAAGACATTGACAGCAGACTGGAGACCTTAAAGACAACCGTATGCCAGCTCGTGCGCCCCCAACTTAAAATAGTATCCAGATCCACCAACTTGCATGCACCAGGGAATATCCTATGCTGAAACTGCTTTCATAGCTAAGAAACCAAATGGTTAGGAACAGAACACAAGCTGGTTGAAGGATCTTAACAGAAGTTAACTGAAGACCAGCTGTAGCATCTCACTGAGGAATCTGGAACTGCATTGTTCTCTTCAACATGTCGTAGCAATTTCCACTGCTCAAAATGATGAAAATTTCATTATTGCTCTGTGTAACTGCATTCTGCCTTTTTTGTGGAAAATTCTCCAGTTTACCATTTTGCTTTATTTTTCAAGTTTATCTACGAACAAGTCAACACTATATAAGCAAAGAAAAAGTATATATGATCACTTACTCTGAGTTTGGCCTCTGTAGTCCAATGTCCTCAGTTTCTGTGCTTCACTGACCTTCGGGTTCTCTCCTTCTCCAGTATGCTGTAAGTCCAGCCTTGAGGCAGTAGTGCGTCTCAAAGCTGAGCACGAGAGGCCGCACTTCGTGCCAACTGTGCCCTTCTACCCCTCAGCTGCTCATTTTAACCTCTCTTTGCACTCTCACTACAAAAAAATACCTAAGAAGGATTTATATTTAAAAAAAAAAGCCACGACCACGTTCACCTCATTAAATTTCCCCCAGTCGTGGTAGTACAGAATTCAGCCTTTACATTACAAAAAGGTTTGTCAAGTCTGCATGACAACATTCAGAGCAACACCATGGTTAATACTGAACAGATACACTCAAGTCTGCTGGATAAGTCATGATCTGCAGCAGACCAACCTGAACGCTCTGGAAAAAGGACAATGTTACATAAAAACGTTTGCCCCAAATGCTGAGATCTAAAGACGAAGCATCTGCCCAAGTGCTCTTAAAATATAAACTTCATTTTTATCACATACATCTGCTAAAAAAAGGTATAGTATTTAAAAAAATGAAAGTTAGGATATATTCTGGTCTTCACGTAACTTGGTTAATGCTCCACAGAGCTAAGCGCTACTTGATAAAAAGCTCAAAAGCAGGCACAAATGTTTATCTCCCCCCTTTTTCACCATTTACATGCTGAAACATAGGTCACATGAACAAAAAAATGCCAGGTCCAAAAATAATCTCTTCTACTCTATTTTTTGTAGACTGGGTGCTGCTTTTAAAGTGACACAAATTATTCCACAAGAGCTTCTTGTTCTACAGTGGAGAGTTCACTTCTGGGTCATAGTCCTCTTCCATCAAAGAGGTGAGACAGGAACTGTAGTCACTATAAAAAAAAACAAAAAATCCCCATCAATACAAGTGGCATTAAACATGACAAAGTATGACTAGAGGGAAGAACAGAAGGAGAAACTGAGCAATTATGTGCAAGTGTTAAAAGCTATTTGATCTCTGATCAAAATAAAACCTGAAATAATCTAATTTTTTAAAAAAGTCCCTGAAAAAGGGCATTTTTGCTTTTAAATGATCACTTCCCAGATTTAGTTTACAAAAGGGCAATATAAACAAGCTGAATCAGAATAAAGGGAAGAGTGAAGAAACTACACACAGCTGATGAAAGAGATTCCACATTTCATAGCAATTTTAAAACCTGCTGCTAAAATAATAATGCGACTTCAGGCCACAGATAGGCTTGACCATTCCCTGTGCCTCATGTCCTCTATGTGTCCACATCATTGCTCACCTGCTCCAATACAGCCAGACTTCCCTCTCAAGAGACAAATCCTCCACAGAAAATATCAACAACAAAAAAATAAAAGGAGTTTTTCTGTTACGGTCTCTTTTTCCTTGAACCATCTTACCTAACCAGAAGTGAACAGATAGGTTTACTGCTCTTGAAACATCTGAAAAGTTTTACTACAGTTTTCACATCATCAGTTGTTTTTCAGGATCCCTTTAGGCATGCCTTATTATGCTTTTATATTTGACTTATCAAATATGACCTTTTTATCCCTTTGGTTATTCACTTTAATGAAATCCCCCATTTTCATACAATTTTCTTCTTTCTGGAACTAGATGTTATTGTTGTGTAGGGCAGTTTGGAAAGAGGAAAAAAAGGTTTCGTACCTAAGCTGTGAGCCATGATGACATTTCTGGAGGTTGAATAACAGCAAGCAGTCTCACAACCCCTACAAACTACCAGTCAAGCTGAGGCAAAACCAGAGTGGACATGGCCATACACAGTACTGACCTGGGAACTTTACAAGCATTCCACCCTGTACCACAAGCTAGTAAGCATCACACACTGCAAACAACAGAAGTGCTAACCTATCAAGGCCTGGTTTTACATTAAAGGCTAATTTTTCAGTGTGCACAGGAACATGTTGAAACATCTGCAGCAGACAGAACAGTCTTTCTATCATGCTGAACTCAGCACAGGTACAGAACTCCTTTAGATGTGACCTTCTGAGGCTGCTACCAAACATTTGAGTACTAAGTAGAAGATAAAACAGGGACAAAGTCAATGCAGTTGACTATATTTAAATAAGATTCATTACCTTCTGAATAAATATGCTTTTCACAAGAAACTGTTGTGGTGAGTTGACCCTGGCTGGACACCAGATGCCCGCCAAAGCTGCTCTATCACTCCCCTTCCTCAACTGGACAGGGGATAGAAAAACATAACAAAAAGGCTCGTGGGTCAAGATAAGGACAAGGAGAGATCACTCACTAATTACTGTCACAGGCAAAGCAGACTCAACTTGGGGAAATTAGCTTAATTTATTACCAATCAAATCAGAGAAGGGTAATGAGAAATAAAACCAGATCTTAAAAACACCTTCCTCCCACCCCTCCCTTCTTCCCAGGCTTAACTTTATTCCTGATTTCTCTACCTCCTCCCCCCAAGCAGCACAGGAGGACAGGGAATAGGGGTTGCGGTCGGTTCATCACACTGTTGTTTCTGCCGCTCCTTCCTCCTCAGGAGGAGGACTCCTCACACTCTTCCCCTGCTCCAGTGTGGGGTCCCTCTCACAGGAGACAGCCCTCCATGAACTTCTCCAACATAAGTCCTTCCCACAGGCTACAGCTCTTCATGAACTGCTCCAGCGTGGGTCCCTTCCATGGTGTGCAGCCCCTCAGCAACCAATTGCTCCAGTGTGGGTCCCCCACAGGGTCACAACTCCTGCCAGCAAACCTGCTCCAGCTTGAGCTCCTTTGTCGCCACAAGTCCACAGGCCCTGGCAGGAGCCTACTCTAGCACAGAACTCCCACAGGGTCACAGGCCCTTCAGGCACCCACCTGCTCTGATGTGTGGTCCTCCACAGGCTGCAGGTGGGTATCTGCTCCACTGTGGACTCCCATGGGCTGCAGAGGGACAACGTGCCTCACCATGGTCTTCACCATGGGTTGCAGGGGAATCTCCTGCCTGGAGCAGCTTCTTCACTGACCTTGGCGCCTGCAGTTGTTTCTCTCACATATTCTCACTCCTCTCTGGCTGCAATTGCTCCTGCGCAGTAACTTTTCCCCTTTCTTAAACACATTATCACAGAGCCGCTACCACTTTCTGATGGCCTCAGCCTTGGCCAGCGGCGGGTCTGTCTTGGAGCCGGCTGGCATTGGCTCTATTGGACATAGGGGAAGATTCTAGAAGCTTCTCACAGAAGCCACCCCTGCAACCTCCCTGCTACCAAAACCTTGCCATGCAAACCCACTACACTGTATAGCAATTAAGCCACATCAAACTATTGACAGAAATCACATAATTTAAGAAGTTGATTTAATGAACCTTGAGAATGAATCACAGTGATGTGAAAAATGGACCTAAACAGAGCAAAGCTCAACAGAACTGTTCCCTGGATTTAAGGGTATCTAAATAAGCAAACACCACAGAATTACAGTTTTCAAGTAGGAACTAGGTCTAAGCACACAACAAAAATAAAAGCAGCACAGAAGTACAATACCCAGGTTCCACTTCACAAAGAAGATTCCCAGTACCTTCAGAAAAGGAAATGGAAAAGGAAAGCATGACAACAGTTTGCAAAACTTGCGCTGCTGCAAGCATAACCAAAACCAAGGTGAAACTCCAACCACAAATTTAGAAAAGATCTTGCAGAAAAGTCCAGTCTCCTAACCTGCTATTTTGATATCATTGTTAGTATCAGCGACCAGGGCAGCTCATTAAGGAGCAGTATCTAACACTCACATAGACAGTCTAGTGCAACCCCTAGACATGACATTTTGGACTGATGTCCAAGTCTTGCAAACATCATACTTGCACAGTTAGCATCAATTAGGCACTGCTGATTGAAAACTTTACATTTGTTGAAGGAATGACCTCATCTCAAACCTTCTACCAAGTATTCTGATACTTCTGCAACCTTTTTTCTGAAACAATCTCTCCTGTGGTGTCAGTTACTGAGAGGCTCTGCACTGAGGTTGCAGTAAATTAAAGCAAGATGCTTAAATTAATCTCCACCTATACTACTTCAGGTAATGTACAGAAGGCACACTTCAGCTAATAAATCCAAAGTCCTGTCTTGAGCCCTTCCAAAGTTGTCGTCCTGGCATTAGCAAAGTACCGAACACTATAGGCCAATACACCATATCCTGACACAGCCTGCAGTGGGCTCTGTCTTTCAATAGACACAGACACTGCTCTTCAGTCATCACCTTCCTGTGCACGTACTACCAAAAAAGAACAAGGGATGTGTCATTAAAATGCAATACATTTTGTTAAAGCAATGAAACGTGGTAAATTATACTACTGCCAAAACCCTTCAGTCTCTAGGATTAGCCCACGTGCTACGTTTTACAGCCTCCTCTCACACACACTCTGGACCCTGTCCAACATTACACCTTCAACCTACCTAAGACCACTTCCATAACCTGCCATACTACTGACAACAGTAATATAAAATAAATCATAACGGGCAAGACCCAAAGTCTTTCAGTTACCTCCTCTGACAGCAACCTACAATAAATTCTTAAGGGGAAAAAAACCCCCTTCAAGAACAACAGTGATTAGCATCAGGGCTCCCAGGATACTTTCTCAGACTTTTAAGCCAGCATCTGTATTATAGTTTATTACTGGTCACTGCTTCTATGTAAACCTGTTGAATTGTTTTGGTTTTAGACACATTTATACATTTTTGCCTTCCAAATGAGAGGGGGCACAGTTTACTTGTGCTTTGTGTAAAAGCCAATTCATGGCTATAAAAATGTCAGCCTCAATTCAAATGGATGTTTTCTTGTGCTACCAAAGTGCCCAACCACATTCTATTCAGTTTTTCATAATACTCGTAATAATTTTATACATGATGTATGTATTCATCAAGTCATCCCTCTTCCAGGCTAAGTCAGATTGTTTGTGGAAGCTTTCTGAACACCTCTAATCATCCTTACTAGCACTTACCGTATCTTTTATATATAGTATCACCAAAACTGCATAAAGTGTTCAAGATTTGGGAGCATGACCAATTTATGCAGTGACAAAATCGTGCATGTTTTAATCTTTCTTCCTAATATCTAACATTGCTTCTTTTTTTAAATTTTTTTTTTTTTATTACTACGTAGAACTGAAATGACCTTTGCGAACTACTCAATAATGAATGGAGCAAAGAGATTCCTTAAAGTACAGGTGGGGTCTGCTTTTCTCTGGTCATGCACACAAACATGTGTGTGGAACAAACACTCAT